AAAAAAAATTTTCGAGAACCTTTTAATATCCCAAAATAAATTACATTATGATTTATTTTAAAATATGAATATATCAATTTATGTAAAATATAAAAAAAATTAAATTAAATTAATTTAACTCATAATACACTGACTTTATAAATAAAAATACTCTATTAATAATTATTTTAATTATATTAAACATAATATTTTTTTTTATATTTAAAAAAAACTACATATTTTTTACAGATAAATAATAGATAAAAAAAACATTCTTTTTTATAACAATAAAATAAATAAAATAATTTAAATATTTCTCCATTTTACAAAAATTATTCAAAGATTTAATTAGAAGAAAATCCCATGATTACAAAATTGACTATTTATTTTATAAAAATTTTTATTATAACAATAAATTTTCTTTATATTATAATTTTATTACATTCAAATTATATTATTTTATTTAATCTTTTTTTAAATTTACTATATGGTGGTATGTTTTTTATTTAGACTTACTAGGATATGGGAATGTGTTACGTCTAAGTAAAAACATTTATACGTAATTATGATAAAAAAAAATATATTTTATATTTTAAAAGTAAGGAAATGTACAGATTAATTTTCATATGAATAAAAATTCTTTATAAAGTTAAAGAATAACTATTTTTGTTATTTTTATGCCTATTAAACTTTTTATGTTTCAATATTTTTTTTTCTTTCGAATTCCTGAATTGTTCATGTAGTAACGTAAAGTTGCATATATGTTTAGAAACAAATAATAAAATTTACAAGTAAAAACAATTAAATTATAAAAATAAACATTTTTCATATAGAAGATGATAATTTAATCTAATTTCTGAAGTAGATATGTTAATTTATATAATTTTAAAGGAAAATTGATTCTACTTGTATATTTTACATTTATAATTATTTTTTTATTAAAATGAAAAAAAGAAAATAGAAAACGAACAATTTATTTACTAATTATAGGGATATAATATTATTTTTTCCTTATATAGGTATATGTAACATTTATTAATACTTTTTTTTTTTCTCTTTATATGTATATTTTGAATTAAGAATTAAATAAGTTAAAAAATCTTATATGATTTTTATGTTGTTATGCATGTAATTATTTGGAATTATATAATTTATATAATTGCATATTGAAATTGCTTATTTAAAGAAACTTAAAAATTTTCTATATTATCAAATTAAAAAACATACAAAAATATGTATGTGCATTGATTGAAAGCTATAAATTTTTTTTTAGATTAAATTGTTAGTTGAGTAATTACAATTAATTAAATCTCCAATTCTAAATATAATTTTTATTTCTATAAAATTTTTATATAGTATATCCTCATTAAAAATTTTGGTTATAATTTTTTATTTGAATTTATATATTAGCATGCATAAAATTGAATTGTTAATGTTATAATATCACAAATCATGTGTTAATCAAGATAATTGTACGAATAAAATAAGAAAAAAAAATTTTTAAATCTTTTTGAAATTATTTTATTTTTCACATTTTATATTTTTAAGATTTATATTAAGTTTTTTACATAATTTTGTTTTTTATATATTTACATAAGTTTTTACAATTTTTTTTGATATATTTCAGCTTTTATATAGCAATTTTTAGGTTTAGAGATAAAGTTTTGACCTGTTTAAAATTCAAAACATTTTTAGTATATATTTTTTTTTTATATTATGCTTAAACTTTCATATTTTATATATTCAAGTTTTATTTCAAGTGGTTTCTTTTATTTTATTTAAATAAATCATATTTTTAGAGGATATGACATAAATATAACTATATATATATAGGAGTAAAAAAAAAAATTACAACTATTTTTTTTTTTTTACATATATATTTTTGTTATGAATATATTTTTATTAATTAAACAACTTACTATATGCTTTTTTTTTAATATAAATATTTTTAAAAGTTTTACTTATACAAAATGAAATAAAAACTTAATATTTTACTACAAAGACATATAAAAAAAACAACAGAAAAAAAAATGTAACGTGATATATATACTTGTTATAATTTTTTTTTATCAAATATTCATTTTATTATCAAGTGAATATTTATTCATTTTAAAATATCTTATAAAAACTATTTAAACACCTTTTTTTAGTATAAATTTGTTCTTTCTAGTTATTTAGTATATGTGAACAATAAGCGAGAAATTAAATTTACTATTTATTTTTCAAATCTTAGTTTTATATAATAATTAATACAATATGAATATGACGTTACAGGCTTATATGTATTTTATTGTTTGTCTATTCATTGAATTCAGTTAAATACTGAATAATTAAATTAATAAAAATCATGTACAACGATTTCCGCTTAATTTATTAATCATAAATTAAATTTCAAAAAAGAAGTATATATGTCAAAGTAAATAAAATACTAAATATGAAATAATTACTTTAATTCATTTAACGTTTAAAACCTAATAATCAAATGCTTTTTAACTCCATATATTTTATTATATTTTTGAATTTTAATTAGAGAAAAATTCAAATAATTTAAAAAAAAAATACATAATAAAAAATATAAAATAGTAAGCATATTTTTACTCTTTAATATATAATACTTAATTATATATAAAAATTATGGTTTGTCAAATATCTCGCACGAATTTCTATTACTAAAAAAACTTTTTTTTTTTTTTTTTTTAAATAATATACATAGTTATCTGTAAAAAAAAACACCGAAAAAAAAATTAATTTATCCTTATACATGCAATATTTAAATTCACAATATTAAGAAAGTGTTTAAAGATAAATAAAATAAAATAAAATAAAAATATATTTTTAAATGTCATATGTTCATAATTAAATATATAGATGTATTTGATTTGGATATTATGAACAATTCAAAAAGATCTGTAATACAATTTATTAACCAACCTTTAATGTTTAAGGTAAAAAACACATTTTTTTTTTTATTCATTCATTTATATAAAAAATGATATATTTTTAACACCGAAAAAAAAATAAATAAACAATATATATATATTTTTTTACATGCATATATTAAGGCACACATCTGTTATAAATATTTGATTACGCATATAACTTTATACATATCTTTGTATACATAGCATAAGCCTCATTATATATGTATATTTGTGTGTGTACTTATCTTTTTTAATATCTTGAATTACAAAATTTTGTGCATAATATTTTTCTGATTCATTCAAATTGAAACAGGTAAATAATGTTTTTTAGTACAACTTATTTAATAACAGAGCTAATTTAAAAATTGGATCAGGAAAATTTTTAGTATATAAATTCTATAACAATAAAAAGCCCTAAAGAATTATCTTAATTGCTTTTCTGACTTAGGTCTCTCTCAATAATAATCTTCATTTAATGAAGATCTCAGTTTTTTATGATCTACTGTTGTTCTATGCCAGTTGTATATGCTTGGAAGATATTACATTTTTCTATACCTATTTTTAAATTATTACTAGTATGAATTTAGATATTTTTCATAACATTTTAAAATACGATGTTATCGTTTACGTCAGAATTTTAACACCATGATCAATAAATGACATTATTGAAGTGATAGTAAGACACAAATTTAACATATTTAGATGTTTAATTATAAATGTAAGACATTTGAAAATACATATATATCTAAGGCTATTTTTTTCTTATTGCATTATAGAAGTTTTTTTTTTTTTTTAATTTTTGATAATTAAAAAAAAATAAAATAAAAATAATTTATCATTACGCAAGGTTTTTTTTATTTTTGAGAAAATAATTTTAAGTTAAAATGTGACATATTTTTCTATTAAATTTATAATGCTTCTTTTAAATAATAATTTTATATTTAGAAATGTATTTATTATTTTTAAGTAATAATAGATGTTGATTATTTTATAAAGATTTTTTTTAATTCTTATATAATTATATAATCTTTAATTAAGTGGAATGTAAAAAAATGATAAAATCTTGAGTTAAAATATATTTTACGTTAGCATTTTAAAAGTTAAATAAAGTAATTATTTTATATTAAGAATTTTAATTATTTAAAAAAATATTTTTTTTAAAATAAAAGTTACTTTTTCACTAATAAAATAAGTAAAGGTCGCTATACATGCTCTATATTTATTCGATGTTAATCAAAAGTCATAGAATAACCAATTAATATATTAGTATATCATTACCTACAAAAAGAAATATTAAAACATTAACATTAAACAAATATTTACTTTAAAATTTATTCATAGACACATTTAATAATTTAAATATATTTGAATTAAAATTACTTTTTAAATAATAGTTAACTCAAATATGTTTTTATAGTGATGATGTATTATTATGAAATATGGTAATTAAAAAATATAATGAAAATGTTAAAATTAAAACTTAATAAGATATTTACTAAGCATATGAAATTAAATATGCTTTTATGAAAAAAAATAAATTTTTCTATTTAACTTTATTCATCACATATAGTAAATTTGAAAAATAAATTTCAAAAAATGTGCATTTACTTGGTATTTCATGTAATGCTAATTGAAATAAAAAACAAATACAAAACAAAAGAAAAGAAAATATATTGAAATTTCTAAAGGATTTAATTTTAATATCTTTTTCCTCAATGATAAAAATTTAAAGAGAATATACTGTGATAGTTATTTTTATTGTCATTAATGCACTACTATTTGAAATTAAATTTTTTAAAATGAAAGATTAAAGACAAACATTAAAAATGGTGCATAATAATTATTATAGAAAAACTTTATTTGTATAAATAAACAAGAATTTACACATTTATGGAAAATTACTTAGCTCATCTTTATTATAAACTTGTTTTTTCTTTTTGAATTTTCCTTTAATTTATATTAAGACTTATATTTGTACGGAAGTTATTATTTCTATTTTTTTTTCTTTTATTTTGATTTTGAATTGGCGGTAATAATATATAGTATTTCTTATTTTTCAAATTTTCTCAAAGTTTCTGATTCCCTTTCTAGTTTTAATTTTCAATCGGTTTCATTTTCATTTTCTTCAGTCGATACATTCTCTAATTCTGATTCCATTGTGGACTCTAACCCCAATCTTAAATGAGACCTACGTGAAGTATCTTCTTCTGTATCTAATCTTGATTCTGATGATAATGATATACTTCCTGATGCAGACTCACTTTCTAGTTCTAATTCATCAATTTTTTCTTTTTCTCCTTTTTTTTCCAATGATTCTTTTACAATACTTTCTAGATAATTTACGGATAAACTTCTATATAAATATGTACATGAATTTAGGATATATTCTGAACAACGCATAAAATTTTCAAATCCTTCACAAGATTCTCCTTTATCAAATTTTTCCATGACCATTTTTAAATGTGAAGTTTGTTTTTCTAACCATTCATCTTTCATATTATTGTACCATTGAATCCAAATATTACTTTGGTCTTTAGGGCTTAAAGAACAAAAAAATTTATTACTCTTAAAAATATTTTTTATTTCAATCATCATTTTGTACCAAAAAATAGAACATGTTCTCTCAAAACGCTCGTTTTCCCAAAAACATTTTGTAATATTAATTCTCTCGCTTGGATTTATTTCATCGCTTTCTTCTGTATATTTCTTTTTTAATTCATACATAATTTTATGTGCTAAAAAAATTTCATGTTTTTCTGTAGTAACATCTATACATGCTCCTAAAAAATACTTAACAAATCTCGATAAACCAGTGTAATCTAATAACATAGCTTTTTTTTCTTCATTAGAATAATTACTATATGTTCTAAAAATATGTTTCAATACAATGTCATTAGCCAAAATAACTTCTTCAAAAGGATCTTTGAGAGAGTCATTGAAGTAATTTAATGCAAAATTTTCAGTTATTAATTGAGGTGGCATTTCATTAATATCATCAACATTACTTTTAATAAATCCTGATATATTATAAATATATAATAAAAAAAAAAAAAAGAAATGCTTTTAAAATCTTGGTGTTAATAATAAAATATATAAATATAATGAAACTATTTTCTATAATATAATACATTTTTATAAAATCAATTATATATATATGTGGAAACACAAGAAAATTTTTATTCTATCAATTAAATTATTACTACAATTGTAATTTAAAATTTTTATAATATTATAATAATTAATTTTATATATATATATATTTTTTTTTTTATTTAAGCATATTTTACCAGGATTTTGTTCAGCTTCTGCTCCTTCTCCCAAGTGTATTGCTAGCAAGTTGTAAAAAATAACGTTAAGGATATAAAATATTTTATATATTTTCATTTTAAGTTTATATTTATAAACTAATATAAAATTTTTCTTTTGAATTATAATATATATGTATATATATATATATATAAACAATAATTAATTATATCATATGAATGCTAATTTTTATAAAATGTTTTTTATATTAAAAAAAAATATCTTCTTTCTATCCAATTATAAGTCTAAGTAGTGTTGTGAAACATATTATTTCGAACATATATTCAGCAATTGTATATATTAATGAATAAATATGTATTCTTAAAATTTATAAGAAAAATTAAATACATTCTTTTTCTTAGTAGTTTAAAGACTTATGTTACTTTATTATTATATATTTGGTGATAACATATTTATACTATTCTTATTTGTTATATATATTATAAATTTTGTTTATAAATACATTCAAGATAATATCATCATGCGGAAACTTGTAGTTTCCTTTTTTACTGGTTATTATATAATTATAAATAGTAAAGTACTATTATCCTAAAATTTTATTTTATTAAAAATGCAAAAGTTCAACAAAGAAAAGTGAAATAAAACAATTTTGAATTAATATTTCACAATAGCAAAATTTAATACTAATATACATAAAAATATACTATTTTAATAATTGATATATATATATATAATAAATGTTAATAATGTTGTAATACAAGTTATAAACTATAATCAATTAAAGCATACATTTTTGGAAATATATTCTGAAAAAATTATTTTTATCCAAATAATTCATGCTACATTATAATCACATATTTTTAAATATGAAATGCATATGATTTAATGATATTAAAATAAAAATAAAATAAAGAAAAGATTAAAAAAAAAATACATATAGCAGAATAATAAAATAAAAAATTCCACTCATAATTTTAAATATAATTTTAGCATTTTATTATTCATGTGAAAGATAAATATTATGACAAAAAGTTATTTAAATGATAAAAAGATATGTATATATGTATATTTTTTATTAAAACCTTTTATGATAAAATATAAATTTTAACGTTCATTTTAGTACATTTTTGTTTAATTATGTTTTTTGTGGTAACAACTACATGCATTTAAAAAAATTCCATTAAAAGATTTAATTATAAATAAATACTTTCATAGTGTAAACTAAGTTATACAATTAACATAAAAAAATATTCGAAAGCATACTTATTAAAAAAAATGATTTTAAGTTAAAATATTTTTAAGTAATTATAAATAGTATAATAAAAAAATAAAAAGAATGTTTCGTCTAGAACTATTCGCATAATTGCATTTCATCTATATGTATTCTTATTTTTTTTAGTAATTTAAATATAATTACAGGAAGAAAACTTCTTAAAAAAAAAAAAAAATTAAGAAATATATTAGTAATATTTATAATATATTTTTTTTATACCATACCGCTTTCAAATTATTTTTTCTTTTTTAGTATTTAATAAAATAAAAGTACTGCAATTAAAATTTTTAAAATCTTGCGAAATTACCTTCTTCAGTTTTATATGGTAGTCCATTAAAGAATTTTTCAGTTTTACTTTTTTTCAAGTTATCATTTTGAGAATTTTTTTTTTTTTTTTTTTTTACTTTGTTCATATAGGCATTAAAAGTTTTAATTTTTCTTTGAAATGCATAAATTTATTAACAAGAAAAATTTATTACAGATATATCAATAAAATTAATATTTTCACCTATAGGCATATTTACAAAAATAAGTTATATGCTGAATATAATTAATTGTATTTTAAATATTTTTTAATTATTAAAATGATTTATTTCTATTCGTTTAACTTGTTTAATTATGTACTTTACAATGCCATATTATGAATTATTATATTTAAAATTAAATTTAGAATTTAAATGCTAACATTCAAATGAAAAATACCAAACAAAAATAAGTCAAATTAATTATTCTCACAATAATACCTTATCATTTTAAATATAAAGTTCTCATTTAAAGTTTAAGTTGGACATCAATTATAAAGAGAAATAAAAATAATTAAAAATAATGAATATAATAAAAATTAAAAAAAAATTTTCATATTTAATTAAGAACAAGAAAAATATTTATAATATGTAAGTATGATACCTATAAAAGAATTTTTATATAATTAATTAATAGTATTTAGTTTTTCTATATTTTCCTAATGGTGAATATATTTTTAAAAAAAAAAAATTTTATTAAATGGAAAAATTTTTCTGTTAAAATAAAAATCTTTACATAAATACGGTTAAAAGTTGTGTCTTTTATACTTAGAATTCTATTTTATTCATAGCTAATCAATTTTTTGTTTTTCCGAACTTTTCATTTTCAAGAAAATTAAAGAATTTAAACTTCAAAAATATTTATACAATATAAAAATGTATTATAAATATGATATAGGAAAAATACTTGTATTTCTATATCCACTATCTGTTGACAAAATTCTAAAAATAAAAAATATAAAGAACATCTATTTTTATTTATTTCACCTTGTATTTTATAAAAGTATAAGATTGTTTTTACTTTTTCATTCTTAACAATCAATGTACTATAAAATAACATGTACTTTTGCTAAATTTTTATAATTTATGTTGTAACTATTAAATTTGTTTGTCAAGTTTTAAATTAAATAAATTTATTAAAGAAATTTTCACTTTTTATGTTTGAAAATTAGTTTTATATAGTTTTATATTATTTCAAAAAGATTCTATTTATGTTTCTGAATTCAAAGAAAGTAGTAAATAATTCTTAAATAATATTAATTATGAAACGATATATTTTATTTATCATGGAAAAATATAAAAATTTCTATTATTATTATTCATTATATTTTATTTATCCATATTTCTGTGTATAATAAAGTAAAATATAATAAAATGTTCAAAATTAATATACAAATTATGAAAAAATTAATAAAACATAAATATTTTTAACAATTTATTGAAACTATAATGATAAAGAATAATAAGCAATGCCTGAAGAAAAAATAATAATTTTTTTTTTAATATTCAGAAATTTTATTAATGAAAATAGAATAAATAGTCTATTAAGCTCATATCAATAGAACAGTGAAAGTTTTCACATTTTTAGCTTATCCAAATTAATCATTTTTCATATTGAATTATTTAAATATGAGAATTTTTTGCGTCGCAATTGCAAACTTTTTTTTCTTAAATTTTTAAATAAAAAATGAATTTATTTTTGTATAGAATATTTAATTAATAAAATAAACTATTTTTACTTTTCATATATAGAATTAATTTATTCCTTATTAATTATCATTTCAAAGAAAATTGTTTTAGTGTCTATATTTATTTTTTGTCTTTTTCAAAATTAAAAATTTTGATGATATTATACATTTTAATTGATTGAATTTTTAACATACAAATTCAATACTTAGCATCTCAAACTAGAGTTTTTTATCATACTTTCGAAGATTCTCAATTAATAAAAGTTCTATAAGAGATAACTAAAACATTATTATTTTATTACGTCTAACATTTTAATTTAAGATGTGATGATTGCATAATATAATCATTTTGAATTTCTCAGATAAAAGAAAAATAAGAGGTTACAAAGAGAGTATATACAATATCACATGTTGTATATAGTGTGTTAAAAGAGAAAAGAGAAGAAACTTCAAAATGTGAATTACGACTTAAATCCAAATTCATCAATAGCGAATTATACTACAATTATAAGAAAAAATTTAAAGAAATGAAAATAAGAACAAGTGTTTTCATTAATGCATAGATTATTAGTTCAAAATTATGATATATTATAATAATACAAATGTAGGAGTATGTTGTCATTCATAATATGCTATTAAGAATGCTAATGTTCATTGCAAAAAATTAGAAAACATGAAAATGAAATTTTTGTATTAATTTAATAAAAAAAAAAAGGTCTTATTTTGATTTCATATTAATTATACATAAAGGATATTATTATAAGAAATTTTGAGAATCATTAAAAAACATGAACTCTTTGGGGTAATAGGATAAGGAATGTGCAAACCAAATGGACTTTCTCTCTTTTTTTTGATAATTTTTTGAAATATTTATTTAAAAAAAAAAATGAAGAATTTATATAAGCATAAAAAATAAAATATATTTATGATGAAGAAGAGTAACATAATGAAAATATAATTGTAAAACAGTTATGAATCATTAAGAAAAAGAAAAACACTTTTCTATAATGATGTTAATTTATCAATTGGTTATTCAAAAGCTTTTGTAAAGTTTTAAATAATAAAATTAATAAATTACATATAGAGTATTTCTTTTTATTTTATTTACTATAAAACGAATTCATACAAATGTATTACGTAATTTTTCTATATTAGACTTATTACTGATTCAGTGATCTTTAAATAATATGGAATAATCAATAAATATAAAATAGACAATGTGTTTTTTACTAATCCTAATGAATGTAGTTTCTTCCTTTATTATGAAGTTATATTAAAAACTAATTAAGTGCTTATTTAATTTAAAAATATATAAGTCTTATACTTCTCATTTATATAACATATAATAAACATTACATATAGGTATAAACATAACATCATAAGTAAGTGTAAAGTCACCCTTAATATTTTTATTCTCATTTTTATTGAGTAATTTTGTTTCGCGTTTTAAGTATGTTTCACTATATGAATATTTTTCTCTCTTAATTATTTTCCATTCTCTATTCCTCTTTTTAAATGCTCTTTATTGCGTATTTTTTTAATATTTTATCTATAAATAGTATTATTGGCCCATTTCAAGTAAATTTTAAATAAATAAATAAAGTATCTTTTTATGTATGCATTATAAGTATGAGGGGGAAATGTACATATCTAAATACATACACTTATAAAGAAAAAGCCTTTTACATATATATAATTTTTTCTGCAGATACCATGTGTAAAAATTTCTTAGTTAAAAAATAAAAAGAAATGTTAAATATTACATTTTATAAAGTGTTGTGTAAATTAAATAATAATTAATTAAATTTAAATATAGCACTAAGTAAATTGAATAATTTGAATAATATTTTATTT